ATTAGTCCTAAAAATGATTTTTTGGGGGTGGGGGGGGGTTAAAGAGGGGGTAAAAATTAGTTTTATTTAATGATGTTTTATTTTATTTTTCTTGGTCGGAAAAGCCAAATTTTGTTGATCATAATTGTTTTTGTCAAAGCAATAAAATTATATAAAGATCCATGCAGGTGAATACTTTTTATACCCCGATCCGAAAACCATAAATTCCCCGACATCCACCGCCCTGCAGCTGCATGCTGCAGAGTTCACTGGCTGTGTTCGCTACCTGAGAGCCGGGCTGCGATCCCAGGAGAACCCACTGCATTGTTCCTGACTCTTACAGTCTCAGAGCCCCACCTCTGTGACTCAGCCCCAGCCTCACTTCCCCTCTTGCTGTGGAGAGGAAGGATCTGCCAGATAGTGGGTGTGTTTGCGTGCATGTGTGTGGTTGTGACAGTGTGTAATGTCACCCATGTCTAGGGTGGAGTGCTGCTTCGACAGACCAAAGTTCAGCTCTTTTTATTTGGAGCTCGCAGTTTGCCCGGCCAGTTCACATACAGGCATGTTGAATAAAAAGTAAACATTCTTTCAGAGCGGCAAAGCGAAAGCCTTTTATTTTTAATGATGCGGATTAGTACTCTATGAATATGACTTTACTACTGTTGACTTTAAAATCTTAAAAAAATCTAGCAGTAAATTGCATTAATCTACCAGAATCGTGTGTATTTTTTTTTACTGTTGAAGAAAAAGAAGCATACAAAATGCAGCTTACTAAAAATTGTATTTATCTTTTTATATGTTAATTAAGTTGCTGCTCTTTGGCTGCAGTTGCTAACACCTTAGCTTCATAGCCAGAAGGGCAGCACTAGCTCAAATCTTGGCTTTTGGCCTTTCTGTGTAGAGTTTGCATGTTCTCTCTGGTTTCTTCCCACCATCCGGAAACATGCATGTTTGGTTAACTGGAACATTTAAATCACCCTTCGGTGTGTATGTGGGAAAGGCTGTGGGTACCGTGATGGACTGGCTGTCCTTGGTTTACCCTTTTGCTCTCAGTCCTCTTTAGAGCATGAATAGGCTCAAGCTCCCAGTGACTCTGGATTATTATTTATCAATTAAATGGATGAATGATTAGTTAAACAATTTCTTGCTATTTGCATTTTCCTGAAGCTGTTTAGCTGCTTTGAGCACAAGCACACAATTTTGTTATTTGTCATATCTGATAAAATATTACAATTCATCCTGTTTGCAAATTATACAAATTTATTTTGTTCTGCGAATTATGATTTCTCACATGACTTGCGAGATGTCTAAACTTAATCAGTGGTTTAAATACAACAATTTTTTGATAAACTGGAATAAAACAAAAGTCACGATTCTATCAGAATGTCCATAGATCAAAATTTAATGGCAAGAGCAATTTTTAGGGATTGTTTTAGATCATAAATTTAACTGGAAATATGAAATGCAAAAAAAGTATTGAACTTTTTCGTAAAGTAAATAATATTTTAGAACTACGGATAGTCCGGATATTATATTACTTCTTGATTCATATCTGATTGTATAGAGGTATGGGGCAATACATGCGAAACCAAAACTAAACATTTGTGACACAAAAGAAAGCATAAAGTGAACACTAGACAACATATTACTAAATTGTTTATTCAAATATCTTGAAAGAAACTTTCAAGATATATATATATATATATATATATATATATATATATATATTTTTTTTTTTTTTTAAACAGTTGCATTCTCTCTTTGTTAACAAGCATCCACCAGGTGGCATCTATTTTACTTGAGGTAGACACCCTTTCTTGTCATCCTCATCCAGAGAATAATCCAGTTCAGGACATTTTTCCTGTAAATTAACATGGCCTGAAACATTGGCCATCGCATTGCTTTCTGTTTCTGTTTTCTAATAACCTTTGTTAACCTTTACCTCATCAACTTCCCCTTTGTTTCCCCAGCTGGTGAAGTTGTGTATTGGGATGATAGATGCTGGAAAAGCCTACAACGCAGCCAACAAGCAATTTGTCAACGGGATCCGGGAGCTTGCCCAGCAGTCTGCCAAAGATGAAGTCATTGAGGTAAACAATGAAATAATCCAACTCGAACGAGATCAAATAAAGTTCCCAGCTTCAAGGGTATTTTTGTTTGATTTTCTTTTCCTTTGTCCTGGTTACTCTTTTTGTTTTTATTTAACACATTTTTTTCCCTCCATTAAATGTTTTGGATGAGATAAACTATGCTATAACATGGCTCATAAAAGCCTGTGTCCAGTTCTTGTTGTGGACACCAGATGTTTTGTTTTCTCTTGTGAATTTCTTTCTCTTTGCCTTTGTGTGTAGTTGTGTCACAACTTCACTCTGAAATGTGAAATTCAAATTCTGCATACACCCAAACATCATAGACCTTAACTTAAATAAAAAAATAGTCTTAAGACGGTTTCTTTTTCATCTAAAGATTACTGGTTTCCTTTACTTTGTATATAATAAATTGTGTTTGTCCAACCTTTGCTGATTTGCTTTGTCTTCTGTTTTTGCCTGTTTTCATTTTCATTTTTTTCTTCCTTTCTTTCTTTCTTTCTTTCTTTCACAGTCCAGCCTCACAAAGTTTGCTGAGAGTCTGCAGGAGATGATCAACTATCACACGGTAACGCTGTTCTGTGAAAACCGGATGCATTCCATTTAGTTTTTCTTTTTTCTTCAGCTGTTGGCTGATGACAAACCCAGATGGGCAGATAGTTCACCACAGCTGTTTAACTCTGTTTCTATTCACTGCTGGGAAACTCGGCAGCAAATCACTGGACAGAAAATATCTCCAATGTCTTTTAAAAAAAAAAAACTTTGTCTTGGGATCAGTTTTTAGTAAACCTGATGCTAAGATTTAATGTCTGAGTTAACAACCCCGAAGCTTAGCGCTGCTGAAAACATGTCAAAGTAGCTAACACTGTCCGCCATAAAAAAGTGGTTAGCTGGAAGCTATTTGGGTAGAGTGCATGTTGTGGAGCACAGGAATTTAACTGTTAGAATAAATTATGCATCAGTGGAGTCAGCATGGTCATGGTCAATTTTTTATGATGCGGTTATCATCCTTCAGGACAATTCAACACTTTAGAAGAAGTATTTAGGATTTAAGATGTGAGTTTCTGTTGCTCTTACAGATTTAGTGTCATATTGCTGCCATACGTCTCACTTTCAAATGTGGGATATCTGCTATACGTAGCAGCCATTCCCAGGTTCTTGAACGTTTTAGGCACCTGTCTTGACAGATTTCATTATGTGACGGCTTTGATTTAGTCTCATCCTTAGTCTCCTGACTTGTTAGTGTCTGGTTGGGATTGTAGTTGCATTTGAAGAAGGCGGCACAGCGTTCCACTTTATTCATGCTAATTTAACCACAGAGAAGAGGCGCAAGACGAGCCAGAGGCTCTTCTTATGCAGTGACTGTTCCTCTGTTGGTCCTCCTTCTCAAGTCTTTTCTCTGTTAGCCAGCTTTACGCTGTCAATCTCACAGCTTAAGTCAAACTATGTGGTCAAGTTTAAGACGTTCTGATTTCAGTCACCAGCCAATTTCTCAGAGCACCTCCAGGCTAATGTTGATGGATAAGTGATAAAACCTTGAACCTACAGAAAGTACAGACCATTTTCCTAATTTAACCAAACCAACTTATTGGTGGCAACTAGATTTTCCCAGCTGTGGTTCTTGTTGTTAAGTTTACCACTTTTCTTTGACGATCCAGATTTAGATCGAGAATGTCCTTGAATTCAAGAATGATTTATTGCAAAGGAGGAAAAATGTGATGAGCAAACGTCTCTGTTACAGGTGCTAAAAAAAAAGATTGATTCTATGTTGGATATAGATGCTAGCTGCCACTAATCCAGTTGTAAGAGATAAATGGTAACAAACCTGCTCAGACTTGGATTTTAAATAATGAAATGCAGAATTCGAAGTCCATATTGACTCCAGTCTGGTCCCCTAAAAGCCTCCAGGAGTCGTACTGCGAGCCTGCGACTGTTACTCATCCGAGGCGACTGTTGCCATATCAGCTGACTGCCTGATTGGTTTTTGCCACTCAGCGACCTTTCAGCACATGATCTGCTCAAACACAGAGCTCAGTCTGTTAGTCAGTGATTGCCTCTCCCAGGCACACTGCTCATGTTGTCTTCAGGCTCTACTTAACGTGCTTGTAGGGCCTTATTTTGTGCTGGGGATCTCATTTTTCAAGGAAGCGTGCAGGTTAATGAGAGTATGACTCACCAACAAGAATAAACAGTTTGCGTCACTCCTCGTGTTTATCTCTTTATGAGGGGAGTTTACAGAGTCGCTGTGTTTGTGTAAATTTAGTTTCCTAATTACAGCCTGTGATGTTAACAAAATCCCTCCAAAACTGAGATGGTGAATGCTGACTGGTTTGAAAAAGGAAACCTATTGGTGTTTCTGTGGCTGTTGTGGATAAATACACGCCATGTTAAGTGTTTAAAATGTTTATTCATAGTTTGTCAACAAATGTGGTTAAATGAGCATAACTCATTTTTTCTCCTTTCTTCACAGATATTGTTCGATCAGGCGCAGAGATCAATCAAGACTCAGCTGCAAACATTTGTGAAAGAGTGAGTGTCAATGAAAGAAAAGAGCAAAAGCAGGAGATACTCTAGATATTTGACGTGAACATAAGTAGTCAACATTAAAGAAATTAAATGTTGGGAGGAATAAACAGAAAGAAGAACAGAAATGTTTTCTTCACAGTTTCGATTTACAGTGAAATGTTTTTTTTTTTTTTAATGGTGCCTTCCAGAAGTATTAATTCCTCCTTGCAGTTTCTTTCATTTTTCTCATGAGAAAGCCACATTAGGATTTTATGAAGACCAAGACAAAGTAGTGTTTGATTGCATAGTAAAAGGAACTGTCAAAACTTTTTTTATGAAGAGAAATCTGAAACGTGTGATTCATTTTTATTCATCCCTCTTGAGCTAAAACATTTTCTAGAGACAGAGATTTCTGGCCTGTCCACTTTGCAAACTGTCTGAAGCTGAGATGGGATTGAATCTTCATCGTCATAGTTCATTACACTACATACTAGATAAATGCTTCTGCATAATGGGGATAGGGTACAAATGCTAGAGATAGTTTTCAGATTTTTATTTGTAAAATATCAAATAAAACCCCTGTTGTAATATATTTTTGGTTGCTGCTGGAATACTAAATGTGGAAAGGGTCAAGGTGTATGACTCCTTCTTCCAACTTGCTTCATCATATCTGTGTGTTTTAAACCTCAGCTTGAAAATTCAGACTGTTGGCATAATTACAGGAAGCAGTCACAGCTCGGGATTAATTCATTAGCAGGATTAACAGTTTTAGCTTCAGGCACGCCAAGACTGAACACCCACATTATCAGCTCCAATACTTCTAAGGGGAAGCTAGACGTTGGTCTTATTTATTATTACTCCCAAAAACCTCAAAGTGAAAAGGCTGAGTACCTTCTCTGAGAGCTTTGATAATAGCAATGGAAAACATGTAAAGCAAGAGTTGACCTCCAGAGATTTCCAGAATTACCTTGGACCTTAATGAGTTTGTTTTTGTATGACCTTCCTGAAAGGTGAGCATTTCTTACTTCAACAAGTCACCTGAAGATAATGAGAAACGCCATAAATTACTGCCTTACGAGGCATTATCCACATATTCTCTAAAAATATAATTATTTCTTTATTCTTTCATTTAATAATTTACAGAGACATAACTTAGCAACCTGAAATTCAGAGTCTAAGTATGAGTTTTAAGCTTTTATTGCAGCTAAACGCTTTTATAAACTTTTTTTTTTGTGAATGTTAAATACACTGCCCAAAAAAATAAAGGGAACACTCAAATAACACACCCTAGATCTGAATGAATGAAATATTCTCATTGAATACTTTGTTCTGTACAAAGTTGAATGTGCTGACAACAAAATCACACAAAAATCATCAATGGAAATCAAATTTATTAACCAATGGAGGCCTGGATTTGGAGCCACACACAAAATTAAAGTGAAATGTTCCCTTTATTTTTTTGAGTAGTATATATTACTTCTATTAGGTTAGAAATAATAGCTTTAAAAGCGTTTTATGTGTAAATGTATCTGCTTGAATTCTTGGTTTTGCTTCCTAAATCTGCATAAGCATCTGCCACAAAAGTCATTTTTAACCGCTTTGTTTTTTAGACTTTTGCTCTCAGCATCCCATACTTTGATTTTTGCTTTTGAGCTTTAAAATAAACTTGTTTGAAAAGCTTCAATTTTCCATTGTCCTTCTTTGCAGTGACCTGCGAAAGTTTAAAGAAGCCAAGAAACAGTTTGACAAAGTGAGTGAGGAAAAGGAGAATGCGCTTATCAAGAACGCTCAGGCTCCTCGCAACAAGCAGCACGAAGTAGAGGAGGCCACCAACATCCTGACCGCCACACGCAAATGCTTCCGACACATTGTCCTCGACTACGTCTTACAGGTATGCTGACTGTGGGATTTAAGCACAGAATAACAGCAGTGCAGTAGGGATCAGTCTGATATTTCTACATCATGTTGCAACAGAAATTTTAGTTCAAATCTTGTAGCACAATTCAGCAGAACATTGTGCTTTGCCAAATGGTGCACAAGCATTTTTTTTTAGCAAGGCTTTAAATAGAGTAACATTTTGCTGATGTGCAGCTTAAAAAACGAGCTGTGCTGTCATAGTACCGTTTTTATCTTAACTTACAGATGTGTGATACTTCAGGGCTGTCAGCCTACAGTGCCTTGCAAAAATCAGCATATTATTAAATGTATTTATATATTCAAGGGATTTAATGTGCTGGAAGGCCTACTTGTGAAGTGGAAGCATGTTTTATTTTTTATTTTTACTTTCACAAGTAGAAATGTGAAACATCTGGTATGCATTTGTGCTCAGGTCCTTTTCTCTCATTCCCCTGAATAAAATCTAGTGCAGCCAGTTGCCATCACAAGTTGAGTTAGTAAATAGAGTGCAGCTTTGTGTGATTTAATCTGTTTAGATCCAGATGTTCTGGGAAGGCTTGCTTTTAAGCGAAAGTGCCAAGAAGACAACAATTGTTAGCAGAAAACTGAAGGTGCTCTGGTTGATCGCTTGTTGTAGTGGAAAACTAGCAATGCATATCAATCGACCAGACTTTATTTATAGAAGATCTTTCATGTTTAAAACAGATAAACAAACATTCAACTTTTAGAAACACACAATGAAATGATCAGAATGGTCAAACAGAGTAAATGATCAGGAATTAACAATGCTACCCTATTTTAAAACCTGTTGGTGGCAGCATAATGCTGTCTGGATTTGTGTTGCACAGGGGAAGAAAGTCTGCTCAGTGTTGACTGGATGAAGCTAAATTCAGGGCAATACAGGCCAAAACCTGTTTACATTGATACCTCTTTTACCTAGAAACACAAAGCCCAACACGACTGAACTGTTCTCAACCAAAGCATATTCATGTGTTAAAATGGATCAAAATCCAAAAATAAATATTTTTTGCAATCTATGGTAAGACTTGGATGTTGATATTTATGGATGATCCTGACTCATTTCACATAACAACATGCAGAATTTTTTTGTAATGGTAATTTTATTATATAGCACATTTTCAGCAACAACGCAATGCAAAGTGCCTTGACTCTGTGTGTCTCTAGATGTACAACACTGATGACACTCGGAGCTATAATTACAGCGAAAGGTATTTCAAAGTAATGACCCAAGGAGGCTGAATACAAAGAGATGCCACACTTTCCAGATTTACAAGTAAAATTTATTGAAAACATTGCATCATTTATCAAAAATTTTTAACTTTGTTTTGTTGGTGTCACACAAATCTCAAAATGTGACAAAGTATGAATACTTATGCAAGTCTATGTACAGTAGTAGTAAAATAAGCAACTACATCTCCTGAAACAACTTAAAAACTCAATTGTGAGCTACATCTATATACTTCCTCCAAGATAGATGGCTAATTAAACCAGTACCAGCTGCTGCTATCTTCTCAAATACTCCCATCTGAATGGAGGATGTCCCTCTGCTCAATTATGTTGATGTGATTTAATTTTCATTCAACTCTACGCTTGAAGTGACGGCTATAAAAAGATCCGCTGGCTGTCATATTTTCTCCCATTTCTCCCAGCATCGTGTTGGGTAACGGTAAGGAAAAGACAAAATGACTCATTTCTTAATCAACCCGTTCATCGAAAATAAGCTGGAAAGGAAATGAAAAAGGGGAAGCTCGCAAGAAAACAACTGAAGTGTTTAATGTTAAATTAAACCTTGTGAAACCTGTTGGGTTTCACAAGAAATAGATTTTCATACATCAAGAATTAACACTTTATTTCCAAGACACATTACAAGACAGGTGTGAGGAGAAGTGTTGCATTTTTGCAAGTTTTTCTTGCTGTAAAGTACTTGCATATAGTCCATGGCATCAGCTGTGTCTGTGAGTCTCAGCAGCTCTAATTACTTTGTGATTTCTGATAAAGCAGCTGCCAGCACTTTCCATTCAATCTCCCTCAAAAGGAACATGCACTGCTACATTTGTACCATTTTCCCCCAAAAGCAGACTTCAACGTTCCGCTTCAGCTCTGCATAATCGCTGCCTTATAAAATAAAGCCTGACTGTGTGGAATTAGTTTAGTTTTTATCAGGCTCTTTGGTTTTCTTTCAGGAAATCTTTAAATGAGCTGCTAGCTCAGCTGATTTAAATGGGCCTTTTTAATGCTTTATATTTGGTTAGGATTGTCAGCATTTTGAAACTCCGCCCTCAAGCAGTGCTTACTGGAATATTTAAGAGATTTCAGCTTCATTTTTTCATTTCTTCTAGATTGTCTTTGCCTGGTTATGTGTTTTGTAGTTTAAATTGACATTTTGGTTGGTGGAGGAAGGAGAAAATATAGATGAGACGTTGCGCTTTAGTTACATTAACGAGACTCTGAGGAGTGAAGCTACGTGATAAATAAAACAATAATTAAGTGTTCACACCTTTTCAAACAGAATAAGAAGTGTTAAGCTACTTATTTTGTTCTTGGTTATGTATATACATGTTCTTTTTCTGCCCTACTGACTTCTTGTTTTCAAAAAACCTGTTTGAAATGAATAAATCAAATAAAATGCTAAACATTCGGGCTCTGGATTCAACTACAGATTCATGAAAAATGTCCTGATTAGTTTCATCTTTTCATCCTTGAAATTAACACCAATTCTTAATATTTAAATAAAAATCAAAACCACAGGAAACAAAAAGCTGTGTCAACTCTGACAGACAAGAAGCTGAAACATTAACTTTTCTTTTGTCTGTGTCTGAGATTAAATTAGACTAAGCTTTTCTTTTCTTTTCTTTATTATTATTATTTTTACTTTATTCAAAATCAAAAGCTTACATAAATTATTTGGTGAGAAAATGTATTTTGGTAATCACAAGGGGAATCATGAAAAGTTTTAGTTTGATTTAATGTTAGACGTGTAAAAGCAAACTGTGTATGTTCATATAAATAATGGTTCCCACTATATCTAGATTGTGTTCAGCTGTATCTGGGCTTCTTTTTTATTTAGAAATGCATAAGTAAACAGTTTCTGCAGAATTTGCATTTGGTGACAGTACCTTACTGAAACTAACAGACCCTAAAAATAGAGACAAAATAAAAAAACTGAAATAGACATGTTTTTTTTTCTTTTCAGAACATTTTTTATATATTAACTTTTTTTTAGCCTCCTCTGAGCTGAAATACAGGCAGATATGGGCCTAATTGTTCTAAAATTCTGTTTCCCTTCCGCACGACAACATGCGACTTACCACAACTGAGCAACCAGTTGTAATTGCCCGTAACTTTTGCCCATGGCTGTTGTCTCGGCCCCGTGTTGCACCAGTCTAACTAAATCACCATCGTTTTGGCATGCTACTTTCGGCACAATTACAAACTGCCTGCCATCAAAAGAGAACGGGAGGGTGAGGCTCATAAAAGCTGTGATGCTTCAGCTACTGTGGCAAAATAATGACTCTTTCCAGGATGGAAGTTAAGATCTTTGTAGGAATACAACTGTGGTCAGTGTTGCCTTACAACCATGAAATTATCGCCGGCCACAAAAACGAATCCAAGCTTTTGTTCTCTGAGGTACCGATGATTTGGGAGCATGCTTTCCTGACCACAAACGGTTCCCTGTGTGTGCAAACAAGCTAACCTGAGAGTGTAGAGCGTCTCTCGTCTTTTCCAGCAGCTAAAAGCACCACTTCACCCTGGAGTGACCTTTCTGTCTCAATGAAATGCATCTGGATAAATTAAAGTATGACTCTGTTTAAATACAAAAGTGAATCACCAATATGTTTGTGATAAAAGTTTATACTTAATGGGAACACACAATTCAGTTTCTGAGAAAATTTGAATGCTGCTTAAATTAAAAAAAAAAAAAAAATGATAATGGAAATTATTACCATGCAGTGGACATCATATGCTCTCAATACTTGGGTGTGGCCTATTCTTTTTTTAAGAATTACTGCATTAGTTTGGCGTGGCATGATGTGCGATGTTATCCCAGTTTAGCCAATAAACTCCTGCAGGGATTTGCTTCATAATTATCAAAATATGTGTAGTTTTTTGTTTTTCTGTTTCTCACCTGAGCCTCCAATACTTTGTGACTTTTAGCACTGTGGGCAAAATTGCGTGTATCCAATGTGATTATCTGCTGGCCTGAGACTTTCTCCAGCTGACTAATTACTACATTAGGTCGCAACACTTGGAATGCACAAGCCAACAGTTATTCTACTCAGTTATGCTCAGTGTTGCACAGGCTGATATTGCGATGACAATATGTTTGCAATGTATTGAGTCACACATAAGGAGCAACACATGAGGCTGTAGTTCAGCTGGGTAAAGAGAAAGTGACTTCCACTCCATGTTTGTGTGAAATGTGACATTGGGCGCCCCCTGCTGCTGAGAAAATAAAGCACTGACTGGAAATGCTTGCAGCAAATGGTGCAATACATTTTATTTAGGTTTTTGTTTAGCTTGATCTTTATTATCATCTTTGTCTGTATGTAGTTTTAAGTTTGTTTTTGGTTGCTGGTTCTTTCTCTGTTCGTAGCCTTAACATCAGCTTTACTTTCTGTTTCAGTTTAGGTCAGCTGATTTTATTAAATAAATAAAAACAAATTAAAAAATGTTTTCTTCCATTTATTTAATTCTTTAATAACTTACTGTGCTTTTAAATGCGTTTTATGGATTTTTGTGTGATATTATGTTGTTGACACTCACTGTTTTCCTTTTATTATTTGCAGATAAATGTTCTCCAGTCTAAGAGAAGATCAGAAATCCTGAAATCGGTAAATCTGCCTCCTAATCACAATAAAGCCAATTGAATATTATCTGGGTTTCTTTTTTTTTTTTTTTTTACATCTGTTTTTACTGTTTTTTGTTTGGTTTTAATATGTAGATGCTGTCCTTCATGTACGCCCATCTGACATTCTTCCATCAAGGTTATGACCTCTTTAGTGAACTGCAACCTCTTATGAAGCAGCTGGGAGGACAGGTACGAGCAAACATCCAGATTACGATATCACTTATTCAACTACTGTGATGTCATGTTTTGGTGCAAATGCTAATCATGTTAACCCCGTGTTAAGTGGTGCCACAAACGGCATTCTGGAATCTGTCAGGAAGTTAAAAATGGCTCCAAGACGATCTTCTAGGTATCATTTACATAGCACCTGGTGGTTCCTTGTCATTAAATCAGAAAAACCTTATTGAATCCTTCCATTGCAAGTTTGCTTCTCCGTCCTGGGACTTTGCCTCAACATGTCTTAAGATTGACATTTTAGTAACAAATATTCTTGAGGGAATGACATGAAACAGGATAAATAGTCGTAAAGGCACATCAGTAATACTGCATTACATGGGTAAAATAAGTGAGATTTTTTTTTAAATTCAATCAGTCGATCAAGTTTATTTGTACAACATATTTCGGAAACAAGGCAGTTTGAATTACTTTGCATCATGAGAAGACATCATAAACACAGGCAACACTTGTGAAAACCAGTAACAGACATTGCATTTTGTCATGTGCAATCGCTATATGTCGGGCAATGTTGGATTTTTTATGGGTCAAAAGCAACTCTGAACAGGTGGGATTTTAAGCCTTGATTTAAAGGATGTCGGTGTTTCAGCTGTTTTTCTGTTTTATATCTGTGGGTTGAGCTGAAGAAAAGAGGAGCCAGAACTCTGGACACTCCAGAAAGATTAATCGTTAACTAGAGTTTACTGACCTACTTCAAATTCTGCTAAAGCCTATCGCCTAGTACGCACCTTTTGCAATTTGAATAGTAATTGATTAATTGAGGGAAAAAAAAAAGTCAACAGATTAACTCTACTCAGTATTGATGTGAAGTCAAGCAGGAAGAGCTGATTAGAGCTTTTTTAATTATTCGCTTATCACTTGTGATTTTGTTAAAAACATCATTATTCTTATTAGGCAATGTATAGATAAACATATATGTGATAATGTCAAACAAGGCTGTTAACCAAACCACATAGAAGGTACTTTTAAATTGTGAGATTTCAACCCAAAAGGATCCACCCCTACACACGGTTTCTCTTCCTATCTCCTCAGTGTTTGTGTGAATCTGAGTGTGTGTGTGTGTGGTGTGTTTCCGCCTTGTGTGTATGCATGCGTCCCCCAGCAAACAGGGCCAGCCCTCTGGGGCCGAACTCAGCCCAAATGTGACTTTAAGATGATTATCACAGTGGAGCTGCTGCTGCAGTTAGCAGGAATGAGGAAGAAAGCCGCCAGGAGGCTGGAAAGAGGGTTTTTTCACAGATTCACACGGTTGATCGTCGGCTGAGCGAACGCAGCGCAGAAACTCAAGGATGATGCTCAAAGTTGGAGGATATGGAGTGTATTGAATCAGAGCTTTGAGGCAGGGATCCTCTGCAGTGTGAGATAGACCTCAGAGAAAAAGTTTTTGTGATGTTTGAACTAGATAGCTAGATTTTTTTTTTTTTTTTTTTTTTTTTTTTTTTTTTTGAAGGGGGGGGTTTTTGGGGGCCCATTTTGAAAAATTGGGGGGGG